GAAGAGTTCCCAGAAGTCACCTACTACAGGACAGGCCTAACAAAGAAAATAACAGAACGCCACTAGCCGTCACCTTCAGCCCCCAACTAAAACTCCTCCAACGCATTATTAAAGATCTACAACCTATCCTGAAGGATGACCCAACACTCTCACAAATCTTGGGAGACAGGCCAGTCCTTGCCTACAGACAGCCCCCCAACCTGAAGCAAATACTCACCAACAACCACATACCACACAACAGAACCACTAACCCAGGAACCTATCCTTGCAACAAAGCCCGTTGCCAACTGTGCCCACATATCTATTCGGGGGACACCATCACAGGGCCTAATAACATCAGCCACACTATCAGAGGCTCGTTCACCTGCACATCCACCAATGTGATATATGCCATCATGTGCCAGCAATGCCCCTCTGCCATGTACATTGGTCAAACTGGACAATCTCTACGTAAAAGAATAAATAGACACAAATCAGATGTCAAGAATTATAACATTCATAAACCAGTCGGAGAACACTTCAATCTCTCTGGTCACGCAATCACAGACATGAAGGTCGCTATCTTAAAACAAAAAAACTTCAAATCCAGACTCCAGCGAGAAACTGCTGAATTGGAATTCATTTGCAAATTGGATACTATTAATTTAGGCTTAAATAGAGACTGGGAGTGGCTAAGTCATTATGCAAGGTAGCCTATTTCCCCTTGTTTTTTTCTCCCCCCCCCCCCGACGTTCTGGTTAAACTTGGATTTATGCTGGAAATGGCCCACCTTGATTATCATGCACATTGTAAGGAGAGTGGTCAGTTTGGATGAGCTATTGCCAGCAGGAGAGTGAGTTTGTGCGTGTGGAAAAGGGGGGGGGGGTGAGGGGGTGAGAAAACCTGGATTTGTGCTGGAAATGGCCCACCTTGATTATCATACACATTGTAGGGAGAGTGGTCGCTTTGGATGAGCTATTACCAGCAGGAGAGTGAGTTTGTGTGTGTGGTTTTTGGAGGGGGGTGAGGGGGTGAGAAAACCTGGATTTGTGCTGGAAATGGCCCACCTTGATTATCATACACATTTTAAAGAGAGTGGTCACTTTGGATTGGCTATTACCAGCAGGAGAGTGAGTTGGGGGGGGGGGGGGGCGGAGGGTGAGAAAACCTGGATTTGTGCTGGAAATGGCCCAACTTGATGAACACTTTAGATAAGCTATTACCAGCAGGAGAGTGGGGTGGGAGGAGGTATTGTTTCATGGTCTCTGTGCATATAATGTCTTCTGCAGTTTCCACAGTATGCATCCGATGAAGTGAGCTGTAGCTCACGAAAGCTCATGCTCAAATAAATTGGTTAGTCTCTAAGGTGCCACAAGTACTCCTTTTCTTTGTGCGAATACAGACTAACACGGCTGTTACTCTGAAACTTGAAATAAGGGTCATATAATGGGAAGTGGGGCTACAAACCCCACCTATAATAATATAATAAAATAATCGTGTCACTTTAAACAACTGGTTTAACTTAAAATCAAGATCCCTTGCTTATCTATTTTTTCTAAAACTTCGTATTATCATACATATGTATGACATACCTCCTATCATATTTAATAGGTGACAATTTTACCAGAGCAATCCAGTTTTAGAAATCTTCACTCATTAACTCTGTTATGGTGCACGCTGACTTCCCAAATAGTTTTTGTCAAGGTTCCTTCCCCACTCTGAACTCTAGGGTACAGAGGTGGAGACCTGCATGAAAGACCCCCTAAGCTTATTCTTACCAGCTTAGGTTAAAAACTTCCTCAAGGTACAAACTTTGCCTTGTCCTCGAACCCTATGCTGCCACCACCAAGTGTGTTAAACAAAAAGCAGGGAAAGAGCCCACTTGGAGACGTCTTCCCCCCGAAATATCCCCCCAAGCCCTACGTCCCCTTTCCTGGGGAAGGCTTGATAAAAATCCTCCCCAATTTGCATAGGTGAACACAGACCCAAACCCTTGGATCTTAAGAACAATGAAAAAGCAATCAGGATCTTAAAAGAAGAATTTTAATTAAAGAAAAAGTGAAAGAATCACCTCTGTAAAATCAGGATGGTAAATACTTTACAGGGTAATCAGATTCAAAACATAGAGAATCCCTCTAGGCAAAACCTTAGGTTACAAAAAGACACAAAAACAGGAATATACATTCCATTCAGCACAGCTTATTTACCAGCCATTTAAACAAAAGAAAATCTAACGCATTTGTAGCTAGATTGCTTACTGACTTTTTACAGGAGTTCTGAAGAGCATTCCTGATCTGTTCCCAGCAAAAGCATCACACAGACAGACAGACCCTTTGTTCCCCCACCCCACCGCAGCTTGGAAAGTATCTTGTCTCCTCGTTGGTCATTTTGGTCAGGTGCCAGTGAGGTTATCTTAGCTTCTTAACCCTTTACAGGTGAAAGGGTTTTGCCTCTGGCCAGGGGGGATTTTATAGTTCTGTATACAGAAAGGTGGTTACCCTTCCCTTTATATTTATGACAGTTTTAAACAGTTAGTAACAGTCAACTAAATCTGAATATGGCAACTTATTAACTGCCTGATTTTAGAGCCTTCCAGTAGTGTTTTAACATTGTCCATTTGTTTCGCAAAGTTATTGTTTGAAGTGACTTAACTTGTGTCTAGTATTTAACATTTAAAAAAGAAGCTAAAACATAAAACAAAGTGACATTTAGATTGGATGTGAAAGAGTTGCAGAATATAATGTAAGAGAGCAGCTAGTTGTTTTTCCTGATAATGATCCAACAGACAGTTGACACCTCTTTAATTTGACCAGTGGCATTTAGTTATGTGTATAATTGTTGCTGACCAGAACACTCCAGCTTTGGCACAGAATGTTCATTGCAGGGCTAGGGGAATGAATAGCTTGCTGAAGTGAAGTAGCTAACCAGGAATCACAAAGGGTTGATTATCTGTTCTGTTTCAAATGTTTGTTAGCTTTGATTTAAGTTAATAAAAAAGGCTGTGACAAAATTTTCAGTCTTGGTTCCAAAAGTTAGGCACCTAAATCAAACTGGCCTGATTTTTCAAAAGTGCTGAGCACTCACAGCTTGTAGTGCCCAGTGGCTGAAGTGGGCTAAAGGCAGACCAGAGCTCTGTGTTCAAGTGATGTGTGGGTGACATGCTAGCCAGGAAGTCTATAAGTATTAAAGGGAGTCCTGGGCAATGGCTGGATTTCTCGCAGGGCTCAGGAGCTGGGAGATCCAATCCAAGGATGTGGGTTGGCGGGATCTGTAGGCAAGGTTGGGTCAGGTAGCAAGGCAGCGTCAGGCAAGGCAGCAACTCACAGGCAATGGCCCGTTGCTCAGGCATCTTCCACTTCCTCCTGAGGACTTTATATAGTCCAGGTACCTAAAGAGAATGCTCTCTATCCAGCCAGTCAGGGGCCTTGGGCATGGTTGCAGGCCTTTAGGACTAAGGCTATTGGTCAGGGGCAGCAATACAGTGCACTGTTGTGGTGCAGTTTCTAGAGATGCTGCCTAAGGGCGTGATGGGCTTGAGTTCAATACTGGCATCCTGACAGTGACTAGTGTTGACTTGGGGTGATGGTTCAGCACACCCTTGTGGCACAGAGGCTAGGTGTGCTGCCTAGGGAACCAGTGGGCTTTGGTTCAATACCAGTATGCTGACAAAGCTGTCAGTGAGAGTCATGGGTGCTCAGCATCTTTGAAATCAGGCCACTTTGATTTTAGGTGCCTAGCTTTAGACATCCATGTTTGACTATTTCACCCATGTTACAGGTAGAACACGTACAGGAGAGGCAATTGCAGAACAAGTTTCCCCACTCTGCTTGCAAGTGTGTCTCAGCCCTAAACCAAGGAAGTGAGCTAGTGGCTTAATCCCCATTCCATTCATTCCCTGGCTTCCCTGCTGAACCTGCCAACTAGCATGCCAGTTGTTGCAGAAAATTTTACAATGTGGATGATGTCTATTTGGAACTGGACTGGAGACCAGTTTCACACAGGCTACGGTATAGGCATCATGGTAGTAACATTAATGTGTGTTGAGTCTGTCTTGAATTTGAACTGATGACTTAGAGACGATAGGGGCAAAGGGCCCCATATTCCATTGCTAATCATTTATCAATCCTCTGAGTTCAGTGTTTTATCAAACATTAGCTTTACCAGGTAGATCACAAGGAATGTGCTGGCATCTTGAAATGAGACTACCCTAGTATCTGTATAAAAGAACACATCAGAATGCCTCAGACGGGCATCAGAATGCCTCAGGGGTTTCTTGTTTAGATGTCGTAAATTTGACATCACTTAAAAAGTATGCAGCAAAGTGAATTGAATATTCATCTGTTTGTAAGACTGACCTGGGGGACCAGATGCTGGCCTTTTTAAAGCTGCTTTGTGCTGCTGGCCGCACAGAACCATTTCAGGGTGTCCTAATGCGGGGGAATCCCTGGCCAGCAGAGAACTGATACAGTCTGCTTTATGTTACAGTTGCCCTGGTTTCTTCCATTGTAGAGGATGGACAAGAGCAGGAGAGGGTGGGTGTGTCTGGAGCAATTCCCGCCTATGGAACAGTCATTGTAATGATGCCTCTAAAATGTACAGGGGTCAAACTGGCAACCATAGGTATCAGACGAACACAAAGGTGGCATCATGCTCTGACAGTTCCTTGTTGCAGAATAGCCCTTGAGACTGCTCCAAGGATTAGAAAGGGAGAGAGCAAAGATGGCGTAAAGCCACTTCTCTAGGCCCCAATCAACACCGCCTCCACTGCACTGAGTGATGCTGTGGTGTAGCAGAGGATCTGGGCCTAGGATTTCCCAATAAATTCAACAGGAATACAGGCAAAACATAAACTGTTTCAGCTCTTTTTAAAGAATTCTTTTCTTGATTTCTCTTTGATAATTTTGATAATGAATGTTTGGGTCATTTGAATCTTGCGCTAATTCATTTATCTGTTTTCTTTACAAATAAAATGTGTGGGGAGACTTCTCTTATTGATCATTGTACTCGTTTTACAATTATAGGTATTTCTGTCTGGATTTCTTCCAAAACCTGAATCAGACAATTCTTTGACAAGTCTTTCAAGTTCAGAAAGGAGTTTCATCTATATAAACAGTCGGCCAGTACATCAAAAGGAAATATTAAAGGTACGATACCCCAGCTTCTAATTCAATAGAATAAAGAGAGGTTTCTAACTTTCTGCCCACAATCGATAGCTGGTGTAAATTAATTGAAGATGCAAACGTTAGCTTTTGAAAGTCTAAATGCATACACAAATTGGGTGCTTTAGGCATCTAAACACTATTATTTGCACTACAATTGATTGTGGGAACAAAATTAAAGACTACAGCGAAGCCCCTTTTTTTGTGATGGAAGAAATCAAATAATTCTCACTTGGGGCCCAAAGTTATGTGAAACTTTCTTCAACACAACCTGAAATCAGGTTCATAACCTCTAAGAGTCAAGTCAGACAAGTCCTCTCCCTCCTATATCCCAAACAGGGAGAGAGACCTGGAGAAAATCTTAGGCACAGCCAGGGTTCCACCTTCTCATTCTTTTTCTTTTCTCAAAGAAAACAATATTTATTTCAAAATATTACAACATATATATTTTCATTTTTTTTAAATTCTGAGATAATGGTGTTCAGTTGCCCTAGAAAAAAGTGCTGGATCTCCTGTCCACTTTGGGCACTGAATAGAACTGTACAGGACCTTTTTCTCCAAATGTATCAAGTGGGCTACATATATTATTTCAAAAAGTTCATGGAGCCACAGTTTATACTTTGGAGCAGATTTTCTGGGATTTACATGGCACAAAGGCAGTGGAAACCACGTGCAAATGCCCTACTGAGGATTTTCCTGGTGCGCAGATCTCCCCAAAAGGACATTTTTAACTTAATTGTTTTAGTATCTTCTTTAATTGACAAAATACAATTTAAAAACTGTTTGTATAGTGTAGTATTTTGCTTCTGTACCTTTTGGGTCTATTTTATTACTTTTACTGACTTTCCTTTGTTGCATTTATCTGTAGCTGGTTCGACAGTACTATAATCTGAAGTCACATAAAGATTCTTCTCGTTCGTACCCTGTTTTCTTTATTCATATTACTGTACCTGCCTCCGCTGTGGATGTTAATTTAACACCTGATAAAACTCAAGTTTTACTTCATAATAAGGTAATTTATATTTTAATTTATTTTTAAATTGGTATTTGCTTACTTAGGCCCTGATCTTAAAAGACTTACCACGTTTAATTTTAGGCTCATGCATAGCTCATTGGCTTCATTGTGACTAATCAGGTACTTGAAATTAAGCACGTGCATTAACCTTTACAGGATTGAGGCTTTAGTAGTTCATATATGATAGACTGCCCTTGTAACATGACTATTCGAAAATTATTGAATCAAATGAGTAACCATTTATTTGATTTTAAAGATCATTTGTGTACTGTCGTACTAGCCCCTGTCTCAGCCATGCTCCTTTCAGAGCCCAACATCCTGAGAACATCTATACTGAGTTGGACCATGGACCATCTAGCCCAGTATCCTATCTCGGACAGTGTCCAGTCCAAAATGCTTCAGAGGAAATGAACAGAGTGATCTGTCTCCTGCCATTCAGTCCAAGGTTCTGGCAGTTGGAGATTTTGGGACGCCCAAAGCATGGGGTTTTATCCCTGACCATCTTTTCTGATAACCATTGATGGACCTATCCTCCATGAACTTATCTAATTCTTTTTTAACTTAGTTATACTACTGGCCTTCACAACATCCCCTGGCAAAGAGTTCCACAGGTTGACTATGTGTTTTGTGAAGATGTACTTCCTTATGTTTGTTTTTTAAACCTGCTGCCTATTAATTTCATTGTGTGACCTCCTAATACTTGCGTTGTGTGAAGGGATAAATAATACTTCCCTATTCGTTTTCTTTATACTATTCATGATTTTATAGACCTCTATCACATCCCCCTTTAATCATCTCCTTTTCTAACCTGAACAGTCCCAGATTTTTTTAATTTCTTCCCATATAGAAGCTATTCCATACCCCTAATCATTTTTGTTGCCTTTCTCTGTATCTTTTCCAATTCTAATACACCTTTTTTGAGATGCGGCAACCAGAACTACACACAAAATTGGATGTGTGGGTGTACCATGGCTTTATATAGTAGCATTGTGATATTTTCTGCTTTATTATCTATCCCTTTCCTAATGGTTCCTAATGTTCTGTAAGCTTTTTTGATTGCAGCTGCACATTGAGCAGATGTTTTCAGAAAACTATCCACAGTAACTCCAAGATCTCTTTCTTGAGTGATAACAGCTAATTTAGACCCCATCATTTTATATGTATAGTTGGGATTATGTTTTCCAATGTGCATTACTTTGAATGTATCAACATTGAATTTCATCTGCCATTTTGTTGCCCAGTCATCCAGTTTTGAGAGAACCTTTTGTAGCTCTTCGCACTCTGCCTGGGACTTAACTATCTTGAGAAGTTTTGAATCATCTGCAAATTTTGCCACCTCACTGTTTACTTTTTCTGACCCCTGTTTACTGACATTTTGTATATTTTGACTGTGGGGGCCTTCCCTCTTATCCCATGACTGCTTAGTTTGTGTAAGAGTCTTGGATGGGTGACCTTGTCAAAAGCTTTCTGAAAATTCTACTACACTGAATTGACTGGATCCTTGTCTACGTGCATGCCGACTCCCTCAAAGAATTCTGATAGTTTGGTGAGGCATGATATCCCTTTATAAAAGCCTTGTTTACTCTTCCCCAATATATCATGTTCATCTATGGGTCTGATAATTTTGTTATTTACTATAGTCTCAACCAGTTTGCACTGTACTGAAGTTAGACCTATTGGCCTGTAATTGCAAGATTGCCTGTAGAAAGTTTTTAAAAATAGGCATTACATTAGCTATCCTTCAGTCATCTGGTAGAGAGGCTGATTTAAGTGATAGGTTACATACCACAGTTGATAGTTCTGCAGTTTCATATTTGAGTTCCTGCAGAACCCTTGGGTGAATACCATCTGGTCCTGTTGATTTATTACTCTTTAACTTATCAGTTTGTTCCAAAACCTTCTCTATTGACACCTCAGTCTGGGACAGTTCCTCAGATTTGATGCCTAAAAAAATGTCTTGAGTGTGGGGATCTCCCCCATATCCTTTGCAGTGAAGACTGATATAAAGAATTCATTTGGCTTCTCTGCAACAGCCTTATCTTCCTTGAGTGCTCCTTTATGGCATCTTGATCATCCAGTGACCCCTCTGACTGCTTCATAGGCTTCCTGCTTCTGATGTACTTAATTTTTTTTTCTGTCATCTTTTTATGGTTAGCTAGTTGCTCTTCAAATTCTTTCTTGTCCTGCCTTATTATATTTTTACACTTGACTTGCCAGACCTTATGTTCCTTTCTATTTTTCCTCACTAGGATTTGACTTCCATTTTTAAAGGTTGCTTTTTTACCTCTAACCACATCTCTTACTCTGCTAGTTAGCTATGGTAGCATTTTTTTGATCCTCTTGTTTGTTTGCTTGCTTGTTTATATTGAGTATACATTTAGTTTGAGCCTCTATTATGGTGTTTTTAACTAGTCTTCATGCAGTTTAATTACATTATGGTTGTTATTACTGAAAGAATTCAGTTATATTCACCTCTTTGACCAAATCCTGTGTTCCACTTGGGACTAAATCAAGAATTGCCTCTCCTCTTGTGGGTTTCAGGTCAAGCTGCTACAAGAAGCAGTCATTTATGGTGTCTAGAAATGTTGTTAGTGCATCCTTTCCTCAGGAGTGCATCCTTTCCTCATATACCCAGTCAATATGAGAATAGTTGTAATCCCCTATTATTATTGTTTTCTGCTTCTGTATCCCTTCTAATCCATCCTGGTCATGTGTTGGTAGTATATTCCTGCTGCTATACCCTTTATAACATCGGATATATTGCTATACTCTTTATAACATCAATTATTTTAAGTCATACATTCATTTTTGTCTTCACAGAGCTGCTGAAATCACACTAGCACTTTTCATCTTCAAATGGCTTTATAATGACTGACTAGTCTGTAAACAGAAATATGATTTATGTCCTTTTTACACAATTCTATTAATAATTTTATAGTTACTTACATTAAGTGGGGGGTTAATATTTAAATATTAATATTAAAAACTTGAGTTGTTTCTGTTTTAGGGCCAAATTTTGCCATTGTGTGTGCGTGGCATGCCCTTTGACATGATGGAGGCTACAGGATTTAATATTCATGACGGAGATTGAAACTTGGCCCACTGAATCTTGTATTAGAGATCGCATAGAGACAGATTGTGATACACTTATTATCACTGAATAGCACCTTAGACCATAAGTAGTACTATGGAAATCAGTAGGTTTGCTTAGACTCTCAAGGTAAATAAGGGCTTCTCTGCACAATGAGATAATACACACTACAGTGGTATGATTTCTAAAGTGCACTGTTTTGCATAGTACTAGATTCACATTAAAGGTTCCCTAGCACGCTTTAATGTAGTGCAGTTTGAAACAGCCCAATTAATGCACAGCACGTTAGTATGCCTTGGAAATCATACCCCCATAGCGTGGATTACGGGAGACAAGCCCTAAGGGTGGCACAATCTAGACTGATATGTTGCCACCTCTCTTAACAGTGCATTTTCTTGGTTTTGTGGGTTAGAATCACAGGCTAAATGATATTTCAATATAATTTGTGTGAAAATAAACATAAGCAGGTTATTTTCACGTTTAAGTTTAATTAAAACTCTCCTTTTACTCTAAGGAAGTTTTCTTTCTTTTTGTTTGTTTTTAGAATTTTCTACCATTTATGTAAAAACAGTCTTTGAACCCTTCTGTGAATGAACACTCTCACTAAAATCATGATGCTAACTTGACTTGGTTGTTCATCCATTACACCCTGATAGTGTGTTTCTAACTCCAATTAGCAAATACTGAGTGAGAATAGATACGTTAATACTGTTCTAAAGAAACAACATATGAGTACTAGATCATAAAGAAAGTAGTACATCTGTTTTGTGGTATTAAAATTTATCAGTGGAGCAAAAGTATTTATAGGGAAAGATTTAAGGCTAAAGGATTTCACTGATTAGTGAATGTTTGGAGTATTTTAATGCGAACGTATGAACTATTAATGCTTCATAATACAATCAATCTAAATTTACTCACAAAATACAGTGAATAGAATTGTTTTTTATTGCTACTGTGTTGTGTCAACAACTGTCAAGTACATTTTCATTAACAATTTGTCCTAATGCTTATGAGTTTTCTTTTCAGGAATCTGTCTTATCCGCTGTTGAAAATGTATTGACATCACTGTATGGGCTACTACCTGGAACAGTTTCTTGTGAAACTAATAAAACAGATGTTACCCCAGTGGACATGGTTGTTAATGAAACAGAACAAACAGATGTGCTTGTTAATAAAATGGAACCATTTGGGAATAGTGATCCACATGCACATACTTCATCCTTTTCATTCAGTAATGAAGTGCAAAATGGGCAAGCAGGAAAAAACACCGAGGTCTGCTTAAATCATCAAAGATTTTCTAGTGATAATACTCATGGTCTCCTCAATAGAAAAGAAATTTCTGGCACTGACGTGACTGTGAGTGATATATCTCAAGACAGTTCCATAAATAATTTATCATGTGAGGACAGCCAGAATGGATATAGTGTAACATTAACCCTAGATGGCAGTACTCACATGGACACTCAATCTGAAAACAGAAGTGAGCATCCTTTAAGAGCCGGTCACACTAATGAAATGGAAAAAAATGAGGCAAATACAGTCCCTGAGTATGTATCTGAAATCTCTGCTGATAATTGGAGCAAGGGGAATGCACTTAAAAATCCTAGAGGAGAGAACCTGGAACCTGTAAAGATTTTGATACCTGAAGTAGGAGGAATAACAAATCATAAGGCAAATGAAAATACTGGTGAACAAGATCATGATCAGCAGAGTGCAAATCAAAGTATAAAAAAACCGAATGTAATTAATGATAAAGCAGGACAGATCATGGCCTATGATTTAATTAGTAATCAAATAATCCGGAAACCCATGTCAGCAGTTGCCCTGTTCAACCAAGAATATCGTTCTAGATTATTAACTGATAATCCAAAGGCCAACATGGAGGACTTGATGCTGAAAATTGAAGGACTATGGGAGAAACTGAGCAGAGAGGAGAGAAAGAAGTAAGTTTCCAGAGTTTGCACCTGACCTCTAAGCCATGTAGTTTCCATTCTGGGTGACTCATTGGGTCCAAAAAATGAAAAATTACATCCACATCATTTATAAAAAACAGGATGGAAAATGATTTTTGGCTTGCCAAGAACACTATCCTGGCTAAAGTTTGTATTGCTAATTATAATGTTTACTGTGCGGAGATATGTACTGCTTTCTGATTTACTCACTTTGATATTACTAATTTTTCCATTCTGTTTTTCAATTTAAATATGTTGCTGTCTTTCGTAAAATACTTCAATTTTTGCAACTTATTAAAATTATATTTTCTTGTAGACAAAGATAATGACCCTGAATAATTGCCATCTTACTTCAGTAGATTATTGATTTATTCTTTAAACACTTGGCACATGTTGTGTGTTCTCTCTGTGCCATTATAGACATCTCAGGATAGTTACTATCACCAACCTTCTTTTGCCCAATACCAAGGCACATTTTGAGCAACTTTTTTCCAAGGGCTGGTAGATTCACTGTGCTGACTTATATCCCATTCAGCTGGGTTGTGGTCAGTGGGATTGCACAGATGTATAAGATCGCACAGAACGTCACTGCATTTTTTTTTAACAATTACTTTCCATTACTTTCAATAAAATATTACTATCTTGTCATTCTCATGTGTTTTTAGAGGCAAAATCCTGGCCTCATCTATGCATTTGTTGGGGTCCCCCCACGTTCTTGAGCTATCACAGTTCTGCTGGCTGAGTAAGTCCAGTTTTTAGGATAATCAGGCCGGAGGTGTACAGCGCCTGAATTGCATGAAGCCCACTTTTACAGGGACTTACCAAGAGGCTGTCATTCTGGGTGTGTTGTGGGAGGAGTTGGTTAGCAGCTGAGGCTCCACCACCATGTAGTTCCCCAATCCTTCTCTCTTCCATCCACTATTTTATTTATTTTTTTCATTGCTCTACACAAAAAGAACTTTTCCCAGACTCTAGGAATTTGAACAGGTTGTTCTGTTTTTTTAAATACAATTTTAAAAAAAAACCCAAAGCCCCTTAAGTCCAGAAGGTATCCCAACCCCCATAACTATGCATAAAAAACTGCATCAGATAATGAATTCTGAGAAGTATTTCATGCTAGCCAAATCCCCACCAATTCAGAGATCTCAGCACTCCCCAGTGTCCAATCAAGACAAAGTAGATTGTCTTGAGCACCAGCCACAGAGAGGCTCTGTGTCTTGTAAGGAAGAATTAAATTAACCATATCTCTAAACAGTCCCTTGCTCATATTTTTCTTTAATCATCCGATTCGCTACCCACTGAAGTTAGTGGAAGTTTTGCCATTGACTTTAATGGGAGAAGAACTAAGCTCTGAACTGCTGCTAGGAGCAAAAAGAATGAGAGACTGTTTCCTGTGTGGGATGTGATGGTCACTTATGAAGCTTGCCGCTGAGAAGCTGCTTTTAAAAGCTAAAACAGTGTTAGGAATATGGGATTTGCCATACTAATTCAAACTCTTCCATTATCTCTAACATCCCGATTCTGGTAGTAGCCAGTATCAGACGCTGAGGAAAGAAAACAGTCCTTAATGCACCTAGTCAAGTATGTAGTGCAATGTCCTATTCAATGGGAGCAGGGGAAGGACAGTTCCTTCTTGACTCATAGGTAATCATTTTGTACTATGAAGCATGCAACTCAATTACACTTATCAACTTGCGTAGTTGTAACTGTCACTTTTGGTCATAAAATCATTGAAACTTATGTCCAGTTTGCCCTTTTTCCACTATAAATGTCACCTCTAATGAATTTACAGATGAGTTACCAAATCCCGAATACTGGAATCTCCATATTACCTAAAATGAAGATCTCTAGGTATGTAATTCATATTGACACCACATTTTTTTTAACCTGATTTTACAAAATTTTCAAACATTTCAAGACCTTAAAAATGTTGCTTGCTTGCATTATATGGCCTTCCCTGCAAACTGAACCTTGATGCATTGGAAAGGCTTGTGTGCACCAATAACCCTCTGAGCTGTGCCAATAGGAGTTTTAACTCCTGGCAGGTTACCCAAGCCAGACACGTTGTTCTGGGAACCTCAACTCTATTTTTTTCTTAACTTTTCTGCAATTAAAATCTCAGTTTTAATATTCTACTAGCATTTATTTTTAAACAAAAATTGGATTGCTCTTGGATAGAAAGTGAATATACACTATATATGGAATATCTGTTGAAGCTGATTTCCATATAATTTAATTAAATTAATAATACCTTTGAACAATAGTCTGTGATAGACACCAGAGGTAACACTTGTCATCTTCTGCCAGCAAAGCAACATTTAATATAACTCCATCCAAAAGATATATTAGATAGAGAGAAATTCCCAGAATATAAGGAATATCCAGTTAGCATTTATTATAGACATTTCCCATTTGCAAAAAATTACCTATTATCAAAGATCAGTGCCCTAATGTTTTCTTTATTTTCATCAGACCTATTGTCTGGGGTTTTACAGATTTCCCTCCTTCAGATGGATATAACAGCTAAGTTTTCTGGTTCAGTGCTTAAGTATTGGCTAAGGCAAGCAACAATCCAAGAGATCAAAGATCTAAGAGAAGCTAACAAAGCAGAAAGATCTATAGTTGTCTTCTCAAAGGTAGCAATTTTGAAGATTTGTTCAATGTTTAATAAAAAATGTAATTCTCTACTAATTTGGTCTACCAGGTACAGTCTGGATAAATTAGGTCACTGATAGCAGGGGTTCTCAACCTTTTTCTTTTTGAGGCCAACCCAACATTCTATAAAAACTCCACAGCCCACCTGTGCCACAACTGTTTTTCTCCATATAAAAGCCAGAGCCAATGTTAAGGGGTGGCAAGCAGCGCAGATGCCCAGGGCACCACGGGTGTTCAACCCCAGGTATTGGCTCAGGGCTCCGGGCTGTAGTCCTGCACAATGGGGCTTCAGCTTTCTGCCTTAGCCCCGAGTGAGTTTAATGCTGGCCATTCTTGGCGGACCCCCTGAAGCCTGCTCGTGGCCCATTCAGGGGGTCCTGGGCCCCTGGTTGAGAACCACTGACCTATAGTAACAAGGGGATTGTGTATTTAAAAGGATAGTCTAAGAAAATACAGATTGTCATCCACAGTCCATACACTTTTACAAGGTGCCAATAAAAGTCAAGAGACAAAAGCTATTGTCAGAGAAGAGGTATATTTTCTCAAAAGCAGCCCTAGAATGTGATACTTATCAAATACAGTAGAGTTTGAAATAATTGATTTGCATTATCTGGATGAGCTGACATTGGAAAAGGATGTCCTCTTTATTTTAGTTTGGGGTATTTGGGGCTCTTTCGAGTCAAATTTTGCCGAAAGTTGCCCTATTCAAATTATCCTACTTGCTTCCTCTCTATAACAGTCTCAGAATTCCCATCTCCTGGATTTCTCACTGCTTTGCTAAATCTTTGCATCTGGGCTTAAAGTACAAGTCAGAAATAGTCCAATGTAGGGTAAGTCACATGGGAGGAAGCCTTATTTTTCGTCCTTGAGCAAAGCTGCTTTTTGAATTGAGAATTCCAGCATCATCTTTAATCAGACTTCCTAAGACAGCTCTAACTAGCCAGGAGGCAACTACCTGTATTTCTCCTGGTCCCTCTGGATCACACCTGCCTATGCTGAAAGATCTTTCTTGAAAAGAGAAATGGGTAGCTTTCACTGTTAGTGACCCTACTGTTTACTTTCTGAATCTAGACTGAACGCTGTCAGATACTTACAAATCCCTCAGACTCAACACTTGCAGGGCTGGAGTTCCTCCTGAATTAAACTTATAATAACAAGTGTTCCTTAAATGTATGGGTTTTTAAAGTTTTAATATGTCATTGTAAACCCAATAGCCACATAATTAAATGTTCACCTTTGTAACAAACTGGCATTGAAAGCAGAAAGAGTATGGATCAGGTCAAAGTTATAACCCAATATTCAGGATTGAACAGAAAAACTTAAGTGATTTCACCCACTAATTTTATGAGTAGCAGATGTTTTTTATCTTAACCTTTACTCCATATTTTCCTTGGACATGATTTGTTGCTCTTCCCAAGATGACTGCTTTAGTTAACTAAATATTAGTACCATATGTGAATGTTAGCACATTATAATTAATTACAAATGGTAACCCTTCTGTTGACCTTATTTTCCACCATACGTGCAGATAATTGAATCTGACTGTTCCAGCAAGTATCAGTGAATAAATTAACATAAGACCAGTTAAAATACTTACCTCCAATACTGATATAGGATAATACTGCTTCTTACTGGAAATCAGTTGTATTACTAGACAGAATCCAGGATATTGAATGGGGGTAGGAAAGGAGAAATGAGCAAATTGCTGCTAAGGTCTTTAAATATTAAAATTTGTATCTGGGAGGCAACCAGCCCTATAGGTCAGTAGTGTAAAGTCCCTGCCTTTATATAACCTAATATAACGTTAAGACTATTATCTTAGTCGTACCCACAAAAAAGCTTATAGCAATTTTAAGTGTCATAGAGCCTGACTGTGCTATACCCATCCCTGTTGTTCAGCATTCACTCCTGCTTACTCCTATGAAGTCAATACGATTACTCACTTAAGTACTCACCAACAGCAAATGCAAGTGTTGCACAGTTAGATGCATGATCTCAATTCCCTTTATACTTAAGCACTGATATAAAAGAGGTCTTCACTTTAAGGGTCTGAGTGTTACCCTGTATGTACAGCCACAGAGGAACAAAGGAATTGCCATAGCAATGACTAGTAGCCAGTGTAGTTCAGTATCTTGTTTCTTACAGTGGTTAGAACTAGACGCTTTGAGGGAAGGTTTCAGAAATCCCAGAGGACAGTTAAAGAATAGCCTGCTTATAAGAAAGTTTCTTCCTTAACCTCAGTTAGTGGTTGGCTTAAGCAAAATAATTTATATTCTGTATTATTTTTATTCTATCTAATGTAACTGTGGATCATCTCATTATTCATATAAATGAATCATGGTTTTCTGAATCCTGCTATGCACTTGGACTCAATGATCTGTTGTGACAATGAATTCCACAGGATAATAATATATACATTGGGTAACAAGTTAATCATTTTTTAAATTTTTGCTTTCAATTTCATTTAGTATCCCTTTGCTTTTATATTATAAAAGGGAGTAAATAGGAGATCCTTACTTACCTTCTCTGCATCAGTCATAATTTAGGTGTTTGTTTAGTTTAGAATACCTGGCAACCTGTCTTTTCAAATTCTCCTCAAACTAAAGTCTTTCTAGAGATGGTCTGATCCATAGCATTATTTTATGTTTGTATAGTTTAAACGTGCTTAAAGAATCTCTACAATAAACTACATCAGTGTAATTTTATTTCTTTATAAAGTTATTCAAACTGATCTTCATAGACTAGGCTCTTCCTGAAATCCTGCTTGAAGAAAGTCTTTTCCTGGGGCTCTTATAATTTAGCCATGGGGCCGGGCAAGCAGTAATCAGAAGCAGTTTGCTACCAAATGCCTGTGCTTCTCTGATAAGTTGATTGATATGGCTATTACAAGTAGTCCCCCAAAATTATGAATGTAGGTATCCGTGTCAGTTTTTTATACCTTTTGCAGTCAAAGAATTTAAAACCATTTGAAGTCAAAATGCCAAGAGGCACTACTCTGCAATACAAGTTAAGTGCCTATAAACTGAACATGTACTTCTGAAACAGTATTTCTGGTTATAAATTTAAGGTTAGAGTGAGCCTTTAGGTGTAAAGCAGAGGTATTCCTCCAGGGCAGATTGGAAGAGGCCCTGGAGGTTTTTCGCCTTCCTCTGTAGCATGGGGCATGGGTCACTTGTTGGAGGATTCTTTGCTCCTTGAAGTCTTTAAACCACGATTTGAGGACTTCAATAGCTCAGACATAGGTGAGAGGTTTTTCGCAGGAGTGGTGGGTGAAATTCTGTGGCCTGCGTTCTGCAGGGGGTCAGACTAGATGATCATAATGGTCCCGTCTGACCTAAATATCTATGAATCTATAAGTAACAGCTCAGCTCCTCTGGCTGTCACACTGGGGTAGAGGCAAGGCTCCATCCACTGTTCAGACACTTCTTTCCCACTTGGTCAATGGGGTAGAGTACAGAGATCTGAGTACGTGGGTCAGGATGTAGAGAAAGCTAATGTGGCTGTGAAAGGGAGTGGAGGTGCATGACTGCATTAGAATGTGTGTCACAATCTGGCCTTGAGTTTGTTACATTTGTGATTTCTCTCCCATACTCTGCCCCACTCTCTGTTTAGGTATGAAGAAAAAGCCACGAAAGACCTGGAACGATACAACCACCAAACCAAGAAAGCTGTGGAGCAGAGAATACAGAGATCAACAAAAGAGACAGAAAAAAGATACAAGCCCAAACTGAAGACTTCTCTCTCTGACCAGCAGAAACTTGACAAACTTTTTCAGTCTCAAATTGAAAAGAAACACAGCCATAACCAAGCTATGAAAATTGTACAGGTGCCCTTTTCTATGAGTTCTTTCAAACGTCAACTTCAAAGGCTTGAGAAGAGAAATTTTGATAAAGACGAGTCTTGCCTGATCTGTCACCTGAGTTTTCCTGATGCATGGGTAACTGCTTCTGAAAAAAAAATCATGTTGCTAAATCCGTATAGAGTGGAAGAAGCCCTACTTTATAAAAAACTACTGGAGCAGCACAAACTTCCTGTAGAGAAACTGGACAAGCCAATTGTATTAACTGACAGGTATAGTAGTGTGGAGCAAGGGTGTTGTCATGGGGTTTTGAGGGTTTTTTTTTTTTTTTTTTTTTTTTGTGGTTGGTTTTGTTTTACTACGTATCATTTAGGAATTATCTACTGTAAACACTGAGGCACAAATTTTTCTTTAAGTGATGGTCCCTCACTCAAGAGCTCCATGCACCTGAGACCAGAAGACTTATTAGCGGTGCCCGTTGGTCTGTGCCTGCGTCTCCTTGTGCTCCAAACTGAGGGCATAGGGAGTGGTGCAGATTTCCTGCCTCTTCAGTTCCTTTGTACCATCCATGGTCTGTGACGGAATCCCTCCAATGTCCACAGCTTTACGAGCATTCCTGCTTCAATTTCAAATATTTCTGTAAAAAGTTTTTGCCTTTATCTAGTTAGTTAGTGGTAGTGTTTAGTTAGCTAGTGTTAGTAGAGGTTTTGGGGGAATTCCTCCACCCCAGTATTCCCACTATTTGGAGTACTTGGTATGTCTAAGATCCCTGGCTTCAAGAGCTATGTGGCCTGTCCCCAGATCTTCCCAGTTAGTGACTTCCATGACACTTGTTTCTATTGCCTGGGGAGATCAACGTCCCCTCCAAGTTGCAATATTTGGCATTCCTTTCCCCTCTGAACCTGGCAATCTTGAGAGTTCCAGCTCTGAAGATTCCTGCTGGATTGCTCAATCCCCCAGGCCAACCCTGAGTCATCATTGGTTGTAGATGCTGAGAAGTGCCCGTCTGAATGCAGTACTCCCCTGTTCTGGATCATGAGAGGTCAGAGCTAAGGACCTGAGCAGGCGCAGTAGATGGGAGGAGAGTAAGAGCAAACACTCTCATAAAAAGGAGAAATCCCCTCCCAAGTCCTCATCTAAGAAGAGGACTTCTTCCCCTGCACCCTCCCAATCTGGTCAGACTCTGCATCCTGTTACAGTTGTGTCAGGATCTCAAGGGGAGCACAGGTCTGGCTCGTAGTATAGGGAGCCAAAAGTGCTTTGAAATCGCTGACCCCTGAAGGGGTGGGACCACCTCTAATACCAGTAAGCAAAAGAAGGGAACGATGCTGCCCACACCAACAGTACCATCCCTCATCAAAAAGGGGATTTGGTGATATCCATATTCATCACCTGACCTTAATCAGCACCACTGGCTCTGTCATGAGGTAGATACGGACCACGCAACTCAAAACTCCAGCTACTGTAAGGTAAGTAACATTTCTTTTTAAATCTACAGGGAAATATTACTTTTACATTTTACACCATGTTTTAAAATTAGAAAGAGACCTAGTCCTGCTTGTATTGAAGTTACTAGGAATTTTGTCATTGATTTTAGGGTTGTAAAGTGAGGGCAAAATACTTCTTAAAATAAATTATTTTATTCATCACCCAGAGCTTTGCTAAATATTCCCTATTTCCACAGCTCCTCACCAACTTTTACTGGCTGTGGAGCAGGTGCGGTCTAATGTTAATTTCTAACAATCTAGATTTTGGGGTTCTATATAGAATGTAAGAGAATTCGTATCCTTATCTGCTTACCTTAACAGTTTCTATGCATTATAATTTTTTGATTTTATTTAATTGGATCCTTCTTGCCATCTAGTTTTTATAACAGCTTTATTATCTAACAATTTTAATTTTAAATCATGATGCTTTTTTCTTGGAATAATAGGAATATTCTTTTGATTTAGGTAATTTATTTTTAGCAGTATCAGTTACAAAAAATAAAACACAGGTCTTTGGAATATAAAAAGAAAATTGTCAGACTCAAGTCTGTCTTTTTCAAGTTTATTTGACCTGGAGTTTTTATGTTACTTCTGTTTTCCAAAAAATCTAATGTTGCCCTTTTACAATAAGAATCCATTTATCCCTGGATTTTTTCATATGTACATGTAATTTTAAAAATGTCTAATAGATTATACTACTTGGTTAACAGACTTGTCATGGAATTGTCATGCTTGTAGTAAATATATTATTGTTCACTCCGTCTCTCTGTTTATTATAGCTTTTTTTATTTTAAGCCTTGTGAAATTGTTTGTTTGTTTTTCAGTTTGTTCAGCGGATCTCATTATATGGATTCTCTCTACAATATGCCAAAGGATTGCCAAAAATTAAATGGATCAATTTACTTGTCGGATCCAAGGCTTATAGCAAATGGTTTTAGGATAAAACTAATACCAGGTATGATGTAGTTTTGTATTTATTTTGACTCTAAAACTTTTTTCTTTCACATTTGAAATGACTCCATATATGATATATTGCAAATCTATATCTCCTCACCAATCAAACCATCTGTACCCTCAGTTCCTCAGCATTCAAAGGTATTCTTATGTGGCTAAAAGCATCATCTCTGTCACTCAGTGCATTGGGAAATAGAAAATGATGGCTGGTTAGTGAGGCAGTAGAGCAGAGCTTCAAACAAACATTTTGTCAGGAATAAAACCCAGGTCTCCTAATTCTCAGTCCTATGCTCTGACCACTGCCCCAAGCTGCAACTGATGTTGACAAATCTATCACTTGTGATATGGGAAGCACTCATTATATGTTTTGCAGAGGACTTTGTTAGACCCATGATCTGCCTTGGTGACATTGACCCACATCATAACACTTCAGATTTATTTTCATAAAAGTCTTTCCTGTATTGAAGCCACTGTCGTAGACTGGAGTCATAATTCATGGATATCCCTGTGCAATGCAGCTGAATAAGGACAGAGTTCTTTTTGTTTTCTTTGAAATGTGAAGCTTTCCTTATTGGCACACTTGCTAAACTAACCAGGCCTTTGGAAGGCAGGAATGGTTTCTCTTCTGTTCTCTGTAGGCCTGATCTATATCCCACTGGCATCTATGACTTCAATGGGAGCTGGATCAGATGTTGTGAAAGAGTCTTTTGCAAGCGGTTCTTTGCCACAGGAAACAAGTGGAAAACCTTTAAATTTTTGCATAAGAAAAAAAATAAAGGAAATATCTGTGGTGGGCTATTTGTATCCTCAGCATCTCAGCAGCTGAAGGAAGGCCCCAGAATCCATGCCTTTTTCCTGCCTCACTGTTCTTTGGTCTTCTGGAATGGAAGTCACCGTTCTTTGATCTTCTGGAATGGAAGTCAGTGTTTTGGTGGGTCTTCCTCAAGCCCAACAGCCTTTCCTAGTGCTTACCACTCCCACCACCAACACCTCCAGAGTTCAGGATGTCTCTTGCTTTGCTGTGCAATGGATTGGCGATGCTCTGGAGGCCCAGCAAGGCAGTTTTAAGATTTGAATACTGGTCTGCCTTTGCATCAGGATCATCATCATAATTTTTGCTAGCACTTAGTTTGGGGTCAATAGCAGGGCTGTTTTAGAACCCCCGTCAGTCTACTCTCCAATAGATTAGTGGTATGATATAGATTCTCTCTCATTTATTACCTTAATAGCCCAGAAGTAAAGAGTGGGTATACTTTTACACTAGATGATTTACAGCCATCCTGCCATCAGTGGAAATCCAAAGACAGGCTTCGCAGAGGCAAATCAATTGCAGACATTTCCTCTATCACAGTGCCCACGGAGGCTAGTTTCTTGGGGTGCAGTGCCTAGATGGCAATTCACTTGATCCAGGGCAGAGATTCACTGTAAGAGCTGTTGGGAATGCTGTAGCTTTATGTGTTACCACATCATGCATATGCAGAGTGATGACAGATGTATTGTAACATATGGAAACCTTCAAGGACAGGTCCAAAAAAGATGCTGGAGCAAGTCATTAGTGAAAGGCCAAACTGTTCTTTCAGGAGAAAGCTATTCTTCCTTCTGGGCCACATATAGCCTGAACAGAGGATGCTGGCAAACTGGTTATCAATAGGCAATAAGTCAATAACAACAAGTACATGGAATTTAATCCAGGACATTCTTTAGCGGATCCCAACCTAGTGGCTTCTTCCTGCAGAAGGGGCCAGTTCCTCATTTGCTCCTTTTTCATAGTTGTTTGTGCTTACTTCCCAGATACAGAGTGCTTATTAGGGGCTCCTTGAAGTTTGCCAGGGTCCATTTCTGTTGTAAGCACTCATTAAAGCTACTCTTCAGATATGCATGCAAGCTTGGTGTCATCTTAATTACGGACACTCTCTAGCTCACCTTTCTCATGACTCACTTCAGCTGCAAGGTAGTGAGTTGGGATTATTTTATTTATAGACATAGATATTTTTTATTCTCTAGATAAAATTACCTGCAGACCAACCCTAGACTAGTCCATCTTGGAATAGTGAGAACTCTAAACAATCAATTTGTTTCCCCTGAAACTTCCCATTATAAGACCCTGTTTTCAGTTGCTTATAACTTTGCCAAACTTTAGCCATCCAACACTTGATCAGAAAAAATGTGAATGATAATTGGGGATCGTTTAAGAATACTTTACTAGATACCCAGAAAGCCACAATCGAAGAAGGCGGCCCAATTGGTTAAAAAAACAGCCTGGTTTAGAGGGAAAGTGAAGGCAGCTGTAAAAAAAATAATGGAAGAAAGGGGAAGTTGATGATAATTAATATAAATCAAAAGTTTGTAATGGTAGAAAATTGACAAAGGAACATGAGTTCCTAGTGTGACACTGGGGACAAAATAGATAATGCAATCCTGGGATGCAGAAATGGGGGAATCTCAAGCAGGAACAGAGGTTATTTTATCTCTATATTTGGCACTGGAGCAATTCCTGCTGGACTATGTCCAGTTCTGGTGTCCACAATTCAAAAGAAGAATGTTGATAAATTGGAGAGAGTTCAGAGATGAGCCGTGAGAATGACTAAAAGATTAGAAAACATGCCCTATAGTGACAGACTCAAGGAGCTCAATCTATTTAGCTTAACAAAGAGACAGTTAATGGGTGACTTGATTACAGTTTGTAAGTATCTACATAGGGAACAAGTATTTAATAATGGGCTCTTAATCTAGCAGAGAAAGGTATAACACTATCCAGTGGATGGAAGTTGAAGGTAGACAAATTCAGACCTGAAATAAGGCATATATTTTTAATTCTAAAAATAATTAACCATTAGACCAATTTACTAAGGGTTGTGGGAGATTCTCCATTAGTGACTATTTTAAAATCAAGAATGGGTATTTTTCTAAAAAGAAATGTTCTCAGAATTATTTTGGGGGTAATCCTATGGCCTTCATTACCTTTCTGGCTTTGGAATATATGCAAGCTGAAATTTTCCATACCAGATGTCTGCCTCAGGCTGAATTGTTTTGGAAAATGGTCAGTTAAAATGGTTTAGTTGGTTCCAAGAATCAAGCGAGGGAAATATTCATTTTCATTCTTTTTCCTACAGCCAACAGCCTCCTTCACTACACAGCTCTTATTCATCCCCAGAGAAGTTCCAGTCTGTGCACTGAATGAGGCAGGGGTCCTGTGGAAAAAATAGGATGTGCTCATGTAATTAAAGCCTGTGTCAAAATGCATACATAGAAGGAAGCCAAATTAAGGTAGCACAGGCAGCCTCAGTTCTGGCATTTTTCCTAGCTTGTGAGGGTTTGACTTTGCAGCCATAATGTCCTTTTTTAATGTAAGTTGAATGTGTTATTTTACATATTTGGTTTGTTTAGCATGAGATGGTCCTTGTATTTCTTTATTTTAGGGCAGGATGCCATATCAAACTGAGTTAAGTGTCACAACAATAGCATTTGCACAATAGCTGGTGGTCCATCTTTTCTTCGGTCTGAGCCTCAGATAGCAGCAATTGTTCTCTCAGCTTTTAAAGTGTTTGCCTGAGAAAGGTGTGGCTAATTCAGCAAATATGACTGGAGTATATACAGTTATTAAATCAGAAAGCTCTATATTATAAACTGGATATTAGAAGATTGCTGAAAGCATTTACACACTAAGTCCAAATATTTCCGGGAACAAAAATATAGTTAATTTATCTCTCATTCCTCCCTCTCCCCCACCCCTCATAGATATCCTGTCACATCAGAAAGATATACACATACATTGTAAAAAAAAATATTTCCCACCCCTCTGTTCATTCAGGTTGCAAACTAGCTGTCTCATAAGCCTTACTAGCCAGAGTTTACAAGCTGTGATGCAGCTTTCTAGCTCTCATTTTGTTTGTGATCAGAACTCCCATGGTGAACTCTGTTCCCACTGCCCACTAAATAACTAAGTTTCTTCTTTTTTGACACTTGGTATATTTGATGTTGAGTGGAAAAAAGACAACTTTGTAGGTGGGGCAGCTGAAAGGAAGCAGATTTTCATGGCCAGTGAGAGAAAATGCTCCAAAGTTCACCACGAGGGCTTTGTTTGAAAAGGGAAGAGGAACACTGGCAGCAATGAGAAATCCACATTTTTGGCCAGTTGAAAATTAGTCATTTGTTCACTTGGCAATATTTTCCTTGGACATTGCACATTATTTCACAGAAATCACTTGCGGAAACTAAAGAGTCGATATTTGAATACTCCAGAATGTCTTTATACTTTGTCAAAAGCTTACATGTACAGTGAGGTTTAAGTGTCTTCTCACTTCCTCAGAGGTTGCCAAATTGTTCTTGCAAAGATTTACAGATGAAAATATTTGAATCAGTATACAGTATTCCACTTTTCAGTCTACAGAATATAACCACACTCAGAGTGGGTGTTCTTTTCTGCCTCTGCTGTATCTGTAGCTCATGGAAGTCATACTTCTCAGCCTTAGCTCGAGCTTTAAGAGGAATACACTGTCTGGTGAACTCGAACCCAAATGTGGATGTAGGGATGTTACAGTTGATAATTTTCACAGAGAGATTTGAGCACTTGGAGCTTACATTCAAAAGTCAAAATAGTTACTTACTATTGCAAAACTACTTTTACAGCAAAGTTCAACAGTTTGCTTATTGAAACTTATTTATAGGACGTACAGCCATGTTGAAGATAGACATACTAAAATCCACACTTACAAATACATAGAAGGTGAAAACATTTGGAATTACTTGGATAATATACACAAGAAAAATATGAGTGTCAGGTAGCTATGGGATGCCATTTGCATCCTGTTCATATGTGCCACTAAACATCTAGTTTAAGTCTCATGATTAGATAGTTGGTATTCAAAGGAACCATTCAGGCAGTTTTAGTTACATGTCTAGCCAGAGTCTGTGGCAAGTGATTGGGTATCTCTCATCTAGTAGCAAAGATGATATGCT